AGCCATCCTGCTGTGTGATTCATCATCTCAAAGAAATTTTCTTCTATTATGTATTTGATTATTTCCCCTCTTCACTCTCTTTGTTCTTTCCTTCTGAGGTTCCTATTAGATGGATGTTAGAACTGTTATCTGCCCCCAATTCTCTGTGCCTTTTACGCTGAATTCTGAAAGAACTACACAGCTCAATCTTTCTGACCACTAATTTGATCTTCAGCTGTGTCTACTCTACTAATCAGTCCATCATGTAGAAATTTTAAATATAATCATTGAAATAAAAACACAAAGATTTCTAACTAATCCTTTTGTAATAGTCAGTTATGAGCTATCCTCTCTCATCCCTCTAAAACAGTGGTTCTCAACCTTCCTAATGCCGCAACCCTTTAATACAGTGCCTCATGTTGTGGTGACCCCCAACCATAAAATTATTTTCGTTGCTACTCTATAACTGTAATTTTGCTAGTTATGAATCGTAATGTAAATATCTTTTTGTTTACCGATGGTCTTAGGCGACCCCTGTGAAAGGGTCGTTCGACCCCCAAAGGGGTCGTGACCCACAGGTTGAGAACCACTGCTCTAAAAGTATGTTTTATTTTTATTTTATTTATTTTTTTTAGCTGAGCCATCCTGCCACCTGTTGGCAGCTCAGCTTGGGCTGGGAATCAAACCGCTGTTGCTCAGAGCATGCACTCTTGAGTGAGCTCTTAACCAACTGAGCCATTTGGCCAGCCCACTAAAATATGTTTTATTTTTAAATGATATTGTGCTTGCTCTACCAATTCAATTTTCTTGAGTATGAGGTCATTCACGATGTTGGTTTGGCGACCCTAGTGGTACAAAATGCCCTTGTATCCACCTGGAATTGCTGTGTCTATTTGTTGCAGCCTGCCTCTGCAAATTTTGTGGGAGCATCTGGATATGGTTTGGGTGGGGTGGGCTGGCAGTATTTGTTCTGGATGTGAGAATTCCAGCCCTTTCTGAAGGCTGAGTAGCTTCCTGGAGCACTATTCTCCCTCTGTAGCCTTAGGAAGGCCATGTAAGCTTAGCTGGTCTGAGTGCTGTTCCTTAATCAGCCTGACCACTGAAAACCAGAATTTTTAGAGGCAGTTTTTCTTTGATCTAAAAAGCAGCAGTTTTTAATATAAAGTCCCTAAATAGGTTTTGGGATTCCAGAAAACCCATAAATTACATACAAAATTACTTTTTCTATGCATTTTTAAAAGTAGAAGATTGACAGCTTTCCTAGGCTATCCAAAGGGTTCTGTAACTCTACAAGGGTTAAGAAGCATTGCCTAAGGATTTAGGAAGGAAGGTTTTAAAGTAAACGTGAGGGGTTTTCTTATTTTCCAAGCTGTCTGCTTTTCTATCTCTCAAAAATATTGTCAGCTTAATAAGAATGTTTGCTGACTGACCAAGACTTCATTATATTTATTATAGATAAAGTTATAAACAGATGGGATGGAAAAGTTTCAAAAGGAAGAGAGAGAATGTCACATTCATAAAATAAGGACTACTATAAAAGAATCTATTAGTGGTTCTAATATTTTAAATTACTTTAAAAATAATTGTACTTTCTTTTTTTTTTAAAGATTTTTATTGGGGAATTGAGGGGATGGGAACAGTGCTGGGGAATTGGGGGAAGGGGAACAGACAAGTTGCTGTCCTTTTGTTCTTCAGTCTAGTTGTGGAGGACGTTGCTTCACTGGCCCAAGTTGGCACCATCATTGCGCTCTTCCTGGGCGAGGCACATCAGTCACCGGCCTCTGGACGGCCGCTCACTGCGGCTGCTGGCCGCTCACGCTGGCTGCCGGTGACACACGGTAGCCCATGGCAGCCCACTGCCACAGGGGCTGCAGCCTACGTCACAGCACCCCAGCTCCAGGTTGAGCTGTTGTTCAGCATCTTAGCTGTGGAGGGCAGTGTCACTGGCCCTCATATGTGGGATCCGAACCGGGGCCCTCTGGCATCCCAAGCCAGTTCTTAACCATCGCGCCACTCGGCCAGTCCACTTGTACTTTCTTTTCATTTGGTATTCTTATTAATGAAGATATAGTCTAAACCAACAAAGTCACTAACTGGCTAAAGCATCTTACCCTAAAGATGACAGAGAGACAACCTCAACTTCAGAAATAATTAATGACCAATGTTCTAAAGAAAATACTTTAGAGTATGCTACACATCTTGTTTTTTTCTATCAAATATTTCTTGAGTCATAAAGAAATGGAAGAATGAGTTAGTTTAAACATGCTATTTTAAGAATTATCACCTCCTCTGGAAGACAGTACATAATTAGCTTATACTTACAGGTCAAATAATGTAATGAGAAAATGTGACACCCCCCCCCAAAAGAAAACCCAGTAAAATACCTAAGGATGCTATTTAAGCAAAAGCAGACCTAAATAAGCTTTTCAAAAACATTACAAAGATGAATTTCAGTATCTATGTAGTCATGGTTTTGTCATTTGTTAAACTTATTTAGAGAGCAAAATAATATTTTGGTCTCTACATTTAAGAATATACAAAGAAAAATATACAAAGTCAAAGTGGAGGAATAAATGTATAAAAGAATGGTAAACAGATCCCACAAGGAAAATCCAAGAAGCTCTAGTGACTCTAATAAGAGAATAAAATGCTATAAATTATCTCTTGGTTATATTAGAAAAAAGAAGCAAACCAAAGTATTTCTATTATTGCATGAAAGGCTTAATAACAGTAACTATATACTTCCATCTCTGTAAGAAAAACTTTCTTGACATGACTGGAAGAGTCAGTAATGTTGAAATAAGATACAAGGGGGAAAAAAGTCATCTCTCCACCTCTCAAAATTTTTATTTTATTTTTTATTTTTTATTTTTTAAATGGTTTTTATTGGGGAATTGGGGGATGGGACCAGCGCTGGGGAATTGGGGGAAGGGGGACAACTTGCTGTCCTTTTGTTTTTCAGTCTAGTTGTGGAGGATGTTGCTTCACTGGCCCAAGTTGGCACCATCACTGCACTCTTCCCGGGCGAGGCAGATCAGTCGCCGGCTTCTGGACGACCACTCACTGGGGCTGCTGGCCGCTCACGCTGGCTGCTGGCTACACACGGTAGCCCATGGCAGCCCACTGCCACAGGGGCTGCAGCCTACGTCACAGCACCCCAGCTCCAGGTTGAGCTGTTGTTTTGCATCTTAGCTGTAGAGGGCAGTGTCACTGGCCCTCATATGTGGGATCCGAACTGGGGCNAGAGTAGCAACGAAAATAATTTTATGGTTGGGGGTCACCACAACATGAGGAACTGTATTAAGGGGTTGCAGCATTAGGAAGGTTGAGAACTGCTGATTTAGAGGAACTGCGTGAAGTATATGGAAATTATGTCTGAAAACTGCACGAATCTGAATTCAGAACAGAGTGATGTAGAAGTACACAAAATGCGCATACCTCCCACGTCTCCCAGCTGCCTCAGCTCACTGCACACTATGAGCCACACCTATCCACTTCTGGTGTGACAACCTTCTGCCAGATTTCAGGGAGCCTGCCTTGCACCACTTCCCCATAGCGTCCAAGCTGCAGTCCTTCGGAAGCCCATTTTAACAAGCACACCAAAGGTCCTTTTCAAGATAGAGTGCCGTATTTGCTGTAGAAATTTTGTGTGTCTTAATCATTTAACATGTAAAACTGTGCTACCATTTTTATTAGGTTCTTATCTTTTTTTATGTGTAATTGACAAAGTTTTTGAGTGTTGTAATCTGAACCCCATATTTCTCATTTTACCACACAATTCTGCACAGTGTGGTAATTTTTAGGAATGCATATATTGTGTTGTACTAGGGCTGTATTTCACAGAAAGTTTTAAAAATAACATCTTTTAAGAAGTCTTAGAATCCCTACATACTATGTGTCAGTAGAGAAATACCGTAAGAAAAGATGAAACAGTGCCATTTCTGACAACATAGATGGCTCTTGGGATTATTATGCTAAGCGAAATAAGTCAGACAGAAAAAGTCGAGAACCATATGATTTCACTGATATGTGGGATATAAAACTGACAACAAAGGAATAAGACAAATAAAGAAAAAAAACTCACATACGCAGACAATAGTTTAGTGGTTACCAGAGGGTAAGTGGGGAGGGGGTGGTAGATGAGGGTAAATGAGATCAACTATATGGTGATGGAAGGAGAACTGACTCTGGGTG